TCAGTTAGGAAAGGCACACATTTACTTTGGTAACTCAAAAGACACTGATATGCAAAAGTTCTGTATTATTATTTTCAATAGTCACTCCATTTTAGGCCATTATCACCTCAAAAATCGTCTCTTGCAGCTAGCCTTTCACACACCCCATTTTGTCCTTCCCCTCAAAAATCTATACCGTGTGCTATTATTAGAAAAGATTCTCTAGAATTACACTTTATTTAGTTTCTCACTATTCACAGAATGAATTCTCGGCCGATCTCTTTGTCCTTTTGTTATACCCACTTGGTGAACCCAATTAACCCAATTAAATCTAAGGGCCCACCTTTCTCCAAGCTTACATTCTGGTAGCTGAGATAAAAACCACAGAACTGTTCAACCCTGTTATTTCTTGAGATAGTATTTCAGATGTTATCTACATTGCACAATACCTACCATATTACTCTCAAATTACCTCTGAACTCATAGAAAATATCTCTAATATCCTCAATATTCTGCCCATGAATTTGTGAACTAACATGCATTCCCATATATTGTTCCCACTGTTCTCATGTTTTAAGAGAGAAGTGATTCTTCTCGTCGAAACTATCTAATGATGGCCCATAATGTCCAATAATCCACTCTGGGGCTTCACTCCATTTCCACTGCTTGCCATCTTGTCTGTATCTTCAACCTTTCATTCTCTACTGGCTTCTCCTCATTGGCAGCCAAACTTTTTTTTAAAAACCAGTCTTCATGAGGGCTTCCTCTCACTATCTCCCTATCTCCTCTCCAATCAGAGCCATTTAGTTTTCTGTGCTGGTTTTCTTCATTTCCTCTTCCTGCATTAACTCAAACATAAGATTTCTGGCTGCGTTGCGTACCAAAACTACACTCTTCAAAATCACTACAATAACCTTTTGTGCTATCTTCAGTGGAGACATTTCAAGGCTTAATTAACCCCTTTTCAACAGTTCACACTGTTTTATCCCTTCTTAAAACACATTTCCTTTCTACCACACTCTCCTGGCTTTCCTCTTATTTCCTGACTACCCTCATCAGTCTCCTTTTGTGCACATCTTTTTTTTTTTTTAAGATTTTATTTATTTTAGAGAAAGAGTGAATGTGCATGTGCACTCGAGTGGTGGGCAGGGGCAGAGGGAGAGAATCTCAAGCAGACTCCCTGTTGAGCATGGAGTTGATGCAGGGCTCAATTTCACGACCCTGAGATCATGACCTGAGCCAAAATCAAGAGTTGGATACTTAACCACCGACGCAATCCATGCGCCCCTGTGCACAATTTTTTTTTCCTCTGTATCTTTGGGGCTCTGAGATCCTAGGCTCTTCCCATTTTACACTGAGCAATCCATTCCACTCTCATGGTTTCAATTATTTATGGACTCCAAAATCTTTATCTCTAGCTCAGACCTCTTTTCTGAGCAACAAACACATATTAACCAAAGCTGACCTCTTAATAAGACAGGTTTAAACTGCATGGGTCCACTTACATGCAGATTTTTCCCCCCCATAAATATACATACAGTATTGTAAATGTATTTTCTCTTCCTTATGATTTTCTTATAAAATTTTTTCTCTAGCTTACTTTATTATAAGAATACTGTATATAATACATATAGCAGAAAATATGTGTTAATTAACTGTTCATGTTATCAGTAAGGCTTCTGGTCAACAGGTTATTGGTAGTTAAGTTCTTGCGGAGTCAAAGTTGTATGTACATTTTTTTAATGCACAGGAAGTTAGCACCCCTAACCTCTGCATTGTCCAAGGGTCAACTGTGATTGCTTCCTAAACATCTTTTCTTGGATATTCCAAACTCCTTACGTCTAAAATTGCACATTCTGAATGTTCTCTTATATCTCAGTGAATGTTACTATCATCTAACACTTAGATGTTCAAGCTCAAACCTGGACATTACCCTTTATTCCTCTACTCTCTAAGATGCACTGATTCTATCTCATAGACCTCTGTCAAATTTATCTGTCCTCCATTACTGCCACTACTAGGGCTCCAAGCATTTTTTTCATTAACTGATGCTGGCCTCACAATCTGGGTTATGCTTCCCTCAGTAGCTTTATCTTTTGCCATTTTTCTGTCCACCCCCGCCCCTTTCTTAATTCCTCTTTTATGCCTCAGCTATATGAATTAAATTACTCAGTGTTCTATAAGCCTGTTCTGTCACCCAAATTTTCCACATGCAGTTTGCTGACTGAAATACTTCTCCCCTGACTTCTAATACTTTGGCATCCTTCAAATCTCAGCTTAGATGTGACTATGTAAGAATCCTTGCCTAATTTTCTAAACCTGGGTTCAATTTCCCTCCTTGGTGCTTCTACAAGCCACCTCTCTCCCCAGTCATAGCACTCTACTTTCTACTGGAATTGCCTATTCACTGTCCCCTATGAAATGACAAGCTCCACGAGAACACAAACCATGACTTTAGCCATTCTATCCCCTTAATTAATATAATTAATAATATAATATCTGACTTAAAACATAAAATATACTCTATTTATTGAATATATGTACATGATGGAAGTCTTGTTTTCTTACTCAGATGGAAAGGGAACTTTCTGAACTTTCTACAGTATCTAAGAGCATATTGTAGGCATTCATTAAGTATATATTGAATTAAGAATAGGATAGAATTGCATTTCTTCTTTCCTTTCCATGTCTACAGTTGATACACAGCAGTACAAATGTAGCGAAGTATAAGTTTTAAAACTCCTATGTATTAAACTGTATCTAGACAGTAAATCTTGAAATGTACAAAAACAAGACGTTTATGGCAGAAGCAAAACTTTTCATCAATAGAAATATTCCCTAATTCATTATATACATTGCCTTATGAATTTTTCTAGAAAAGTCCTTGCTGTTAAAAATCTCTCTCAAATCTCCAGTCACTAATTACTCTATGATGAAGAAAAACATATAAAACTGATAATGAATTTTAGTGTCATTTCCAAAAAGGCATTAAGAAGTATGGAATACCAAGAATAATGAGAAAAAAAAATAACACCTTAAGAAACATTTTAAAATCAGATAAAAATAACAAATGCTGCTATAAATACAACTTTGTAAAAATAATGTCCTTGATTAAAAAAAAAGAATGTTAAATAAAGAAGGAAAGTTATCAGTAAAAGATAAATAAAACTTTAAGCAGAACAGGAATAGTACTAGCAATTTTAAAAATGAGAAAAGGTGTAAAACAACAATACTAAATTTTTAAAAAAATATCACAAAAGGATTTTGAGATTAATTTGAAAAAGTAATAATGAGGCATCTTCCATCTTATTTTTCCAGGGCGATTTCATATTTAGTGAGATAAAGAATCATATTAATATAAATTTTATATTCATACCTTAGGAAGATACAATGGTTAAGAAGCTAGAAGGACAAAATACGGTTCTGTTGTAAACTACCTTTGGTAAACTCTAACAGCATGAAATGAGAATGAAAGGATTAAAAGTGAAACACTGCACTTTATACTCCATTCATGACAGTCTTTCAAAAAAATGTGTATATATTTTTAGGTGAATTATAATATTTTTTTTTAAATCACTATCAGGCTTCTTCCCTCTTTTTTCCTGACATGCTATTTGTTATGTTATTTTTAGTTATCCTAAGGACAAGAAACAAAGGACATTATTTTTCAATTTGATTCATCTTTCATAATGGAGACTGTGATCAACATTAAAGCTTTAATCGTCACGTTACAAAGTTAAAAATTTTTAATTAATGCATGTTAAATATTACTGAAATAGGCATTTTAAAGTCATTCAATTAACTGAATGTTGGGGGTCATTATAATCATCTAACCTATTAAAACTTGAGTTTATTGCTTTTAATATTTTAATAGAAGATTTAATAATTGTTTCTTAGCTTTTAAAAAAGTTTTAAAAAGGTAACAAAAATAAAGCCATCAATACCTCTTTAAGCCCCTAAAATATACAATGTAACAATGCAACCACACAATAAAATATCCTTAAATTTACAAATGTAACCTGGCACTCTCTCATGTCCAGGAAGTAATGAAATGAGCACTACCATACTTCTACAAATCCTGAACTGTCTAGCACCTATCAACAAGCTGAGATGGAACTGGCTACATTGGCAACTCCGGTGTTCATATCCTATTTTGCTAGGGTCTGAGGCTAACAGTCTCCCTGAGGCACCAAAGTCAGGCCAGCATAACGGAGTAAAGCACATAATTACTTACTAAAGTAATTTCAGTTTACATTCTAAATTTGGCATTACCTTAACAGTATCTGTACATGATTTTCTCCCTGGCTACACTATAGATTATCTCTGGAAAGAAATCTTCATCTTTGTATCTGTGGAATCTAGTTCAATGTCTCATCTAAAAAAAACCTATTCAACAAGTTTGCTTATTTATTGAAGAAAATATCTTGTTCCATGACACTATTTAAATAAGCAGAGTCTTAAAATGGTTCTCAAAGCAGTACCAGAGGGCATTAACAATTTGATGGTGAATGTGAGACTGATATACTAGAATTATTATGTATGTTACAGACCTCATCAACTTAGCAGCGAGATAGTCTACTTCTTTCCACATGGTCTCAAAGCTATTAATTTATCAAGACAATGAATACATATTATCCTGTAGTGTAGCAGTTAATTTTTAGATAGCTCCTTGGGCATATTTACCATTCACACTGTTTTCTATATTTTATATTAGATCAAATACAAAAACAGATAATATAACTTGTACATTAATGATATATGTTTAGGAGCTTTCTATGTCTCTACTAAATATATTTTAATTTGCTTAAAATCCTGGACACATTAAGATGTAGGGAAGTGCATGGGTACATTCAGGAGAACCTAATTTCGTGAGTTTCATACTAGGTGCCAAGAAATTAGGTTGTCCAAATATTTTGGAAATAAATTGAAACTAAATCAGCTGTTCCTTTTCTACCCATTATCTCATACTTTACTCAAGGCACCTACAATGAAACTTTAAAATTAAGTAGAGAAAAACTTACCTAGTTGGGATTTTGAATAATAGTTTGCCATTTGTCCACTGTTGCAAGACTGTCGTTTATGTCTTTTTGTTGACATTTCTGTGGTCTTCCATGGTGGTCTTTTTCTTTTGTTCAATTTGCTAAGAACGTCAGAACTATCAGGATTCTTGTCATAGTTAACACATTTATTTAATTTACTGTTGTCAAGTTGGCCAGGAAATTTATTGGTTGAAGGACTATTTGTTTTAGCATTTTCTATTTCTTTAGATTGCTTTTTAAAAGAATTTTGCCTAGCAGAATGGGACCTTAAGGTAAAGCGCTTTGATTCTTCTCTATGAGTCTGATGATTACTTCCACCGTCAATAGATTCAGGAGAGTAAATGATTGTATTTAGCTTAAAAGTATTTCTGTGTTCAAGATAGTTGATCTTCCTCAAAAATATTCTACAATCTTTTAAGGTTTTTGACCTCCAATTATTTGGACATACATTTCCTAGTCTTGGTCCCTTTTCAAAATCTTTTTGGCTGCAATTTGTTCCATTCTCCTTTGCTTCTGACTTAAAATTATTCTCTAAACTAGCATGTGTTTTCAAGTCAGACATCACCACCTTCTGTTGCAAAGAGTCATCCCTGATCTCAGGTGGCAAAATAAACTGATTATCTATTGTGTTTTTTCCTTGGAGTGGGATGTCAGCCTTTGTTCCCCCCTCAGCCTTATTTAAAAATTGGTTCTGGCAGAAAAATCTTAAGTCCCTCCTTTTAGAGATCCAATCAATTGTTCCATGGTTGTGCAGCTTTCCCTCTCTTTTCCATTTTGCATGTTGCAACCTCTTAAACTCAGTTCTTTTTAATCTAGCTAATGTTAAATTACTTTTCACATTTAACAGCGGAGAGCTAACCATTTTATGCAGTATATGCAACTTCCCTGCTGATTTTGAAGGAGAAGATAGTGCAAATTTTTTAAAGTGCTTTCTGAAGGGGCTGGTATTAAAATTAGAATATTTGGTCCCTAATTTAATTCCTCTGGTATTTATTACTTCCAAAGGGTTTCGAGCATTTGCTTTTCTAACTAGTGAAAGAGACTGTGTTTCTGTTGTTTGCATAAACCAGATACAGAGTTCATTCAAATCATACTTTTTCCGAAAAAGCATTTTTACAGGTGAAACTTCAAGTTCTAAAAGACAGGTTTCCAAAGGGTTTGCTATTTTGAAATTATCATTTTCAATGCGTTCTCTTTTTTTGTGAACACAGTTTCCAGCTTCATCTCCACTCACATGCACCCAAGCATTTGTTATTTGCTCAAATCTATTGTTTAATTCCTCTAATAAGGAATCGTTTGAAGTAGAAGCAGCCCACCACCTGAGCAAAGGATTTGATGAAATTATAGGGTCCAAGGATACTTCAGAAATGGGTATTAATTTGTTATCTTCCAAACACATTTTTGCATTCCTTGAATTTCTAGTTGCTGGGGTACCTTTCGAAGCTATTTTTATCCTTGACTGCCTATGTTTTTCCTTCTGACTTTTACCTTTCTGCAAATGGAGTTTATATGATTTACGGAACAGAGCATTTCTATAAATAAGTGAGCTAGACGATGCTAATGGATGTAAGAAATGGAGAGATGGTTTTCTATCCCTAATAGAATGTCTCAAAGGTATAGTTGCAACCATACTTTTTGATCCATTCTTAAATATGTCAGCTTCAGTGTGCCTTGTATCCGTCTTACTGCATCGGTGATCATACTTTTCTTCAGCCAGATTTTTTTCTAATATATTTTCTTGTTCTAAAGGAGGTAAGCAGCTGCTAATACTTACTTCTCTCTCCTGAGGTGAAACTCTATTAATAGTCACAGATATGCCAGAGATTTTCACTTTTGCAGGTCTACCAGGCTTCCTAATTCTTGCAAAAGGCTTCTGATTTGGTCGAATACTGTTCTTGGAAGGCTGAGGTATCACAGACTTGTTCTTGATAGGCCTAACATATTCAAAGCCAGACCCCAAGAGCTCACTTTCAGTAGTCAAACTTGAAACAGCACTTCTTTCACCTGAGTCAATTTTGAATTCTCTAATATTTCTGAGACTGTTACATTCAGTTGGAAAATCAGCAACATTATTGCTGAAAGACATAATATTGCTTATGTTTACAGTTCCTTCAGAAACATGCCTTCTAGTTCTTCTTGACCTTCCATAAATAACAGTTACGGTAATACTCTTTTTATAAATACCTTCTTCTACTTCTGATAGGAGAGATTCTGGACTTTTCTTTCCAGCACTAGAAGACTCATTTTGGCAAATGGTGATGTCTGTTTGATCAATTTTAGGTTTTGGTGGTCTTCCAATTGGCCGCTTAATTTGTTTCACAACCTGGGGACCTATTTTTTTAGGTCTACCTGGTTTTCGTTTAAAAGATGAATCAATACCACTGCTTGTATTTTCCTTAGGTTCATCTTGTGGCTTATCACTATTCATATCATCTATAAACATTGCAGGGGATTCTGTAGTTTCTTTTGCACAATTAAATTTGTTTAGTTCTCCCTGTAGAGTGTCACTATCATTAAGATTAGAACTATAATTTTCAAAGTTAGCATTTGGGACATCCTTATTTGTTTCTGTTTTTTTTTCAATTACATGATGAGTTGGACATTTTTCAGAAGGAAGATCAATATTTGATCTGGAAGTACCAACTGAAGTTAAAGTATATTTGACTCCTTCACTGCTTTTAACTTCAGATAAAAACATGAGTTTGATAGGGCTAGAATAGCTGGAAAAAGAAGAGCTTTCAATGGCTTCATATTTTGTTGGCACACTTTGAACATTGGAAATCAAGCTACTTGTATCTAAAATAGGTAACTTTTCCAGATTATCAAGTCTTTTGCTATTCATATCTATTGTAGGAATATGACTGCTTTTGATATTGCTGGCTGCTACCACAGATTTTGATAAACTCTGTTCTTTGCATGTCGTTCTGCTTAAAGCAAGAGTCATATTTCTATCTGCAGTTTGATCTTTACCATTAATTTCTATCAATTTCTTGGATGCCTTGCATCCTTCAGATAATGAGTGATTATTCAAAGACTTTTTGGCCATATTTATTGTGTCTTCCAAACGCTCCACAACAACTTGTAAATTAGAATTCATTGCAATTTTGTTTAGATCTATATTGTGTGAGCTTTCAATTTGAATATTTTTCACTGGATCTCTTTTTTTTGTAGATTCAGAAACTTTTTTGGCTTTAGGGGATTTTTTAAAAACATAATTATTTGTTACATATATAGAATACCACCCTGGACGCACAATATTTCGTTTAGTTCTGCTCAAAAGTCCGGGAATATCACTTTTCAAAGGCGTTTGAGTATTCTCCAGTTTTGGATTCTCCTTGCGATTTTGCAAAAGTTTTTTTCCAGCTGCAGATTTCTCCTGTGATTTTCTTATGCTCATTTTCCCAGGGGAAGTTGTTTTAAAGCTTTCTGAAAATGCATCAAAAGCCAAGTTAGTTTCTAAACTATGAAGAGGTAGTTGCAATGATTGTAATGCACAATCTGGTGAAAATGATGTTTCTGCATGATTATTATCTTGTAAGCTTTCAGAATTTTGTAAAGACCCTTGGCAATGATAGAATTCTTTTTTGTCCGTGGAAAATATCTCATCATTGCATGTCAACTTCCTTGAATTTTTTTCAGTGTATTTTTTTCTTACAAAATTTTCAAGACTAGCAAGTTCTCTTTTTATTTGTAAAGACTGCCTTCTAAACATGGGTGAATCAGGAGAGTTGTGCATTGAAAATAAGGTTTCTTGACGCTTTCGAAATCTTGTCTGAATAATTTTATTTTCTACCTTTTTATCATGTTGACTCAGCAATTCCATGAAACTGTAATCACTGGCCTTGGCATTATGCAAGAGTGAGGATATTAAATCTCTCAATTTTAAATCATTATCTGTATTACAATCACTGCTAGATAATTTTATAAGGTTTGTCACATCTGTAGTTTCTATTGATTTTAGTTTTTCATTAATACGATCCATTAAATCTTGAAAAATTACAGTAGTTTCACCTTTTTCATCATTTGTAGTACAATTATCGCTGTCTTCCAGGAGCAAATAATCAGAGTTACTGGATTTTTTAGTTTTATGTATTTTACCTTCAGGATCACCCTTGTCACTGTTTATTTCTGCTGGTATGAGAGATGGAGGCTGGTTAATGTTTATTTCGAGTCTGTTATTTTCTAAGGCTGAAAGCTCTGAGAAGACATCTTTCAATTTTTCAAATCCTTCAGTCTGTACAGGTGATAATGGTGGAGGTGACGGACTTCGAGATCTACAAAAATCCTTAAGACTGACTGAAACATCACATACTTCCCTTGAGGAAAGAGGAGCATGAAAGGTTGATTTTGTAGAGTGAATGTTTGGTAACAGTCCAGAACAGCACCTGTGAGAATTAGAACTGTTTGCAATTCCTCTATTCACTACTGTCTTAATGTGTTCAATAGTTACAGTTTGGCAAGATAAACAATGTAAATCTTTAATACAGACCGGCAGAGGCACAAAACCAGGGCTTTGTCTTTCATTTTGTAAACACCCTCTTTCTGCCAGCCTATATTCATAATTACAGAATAGACCATGTAAATCATCTTCAATTAGGGGCTTTTGAGATTCTGAAGACACAGTATATGATGTATTACAAGAGCAAAGAGAAGCAGTATTCTGCTCTTGGACTAGAAATTTCAACATGGCCAAAACTTGTTGCTGGTGATGTATGCACAAAGATTCCAAAACTTTGCTTAATGCTGATTTTCCTTTTTCCATTTTAGTAGCTTCCTCTGATTTTGCATCAACAGTTGAACTAAAAATAAAAATCAAACAAAAAATGAATTACAGCAAAAATACCAGTATTATAAGGAGTTATAATTTTAACAGAGTTCGAACAAAAGAAATTTTGGTATTGCTGGACTCCTAACTCCTATAGAGCTGCACTAATGACATCTCGATTATTGTTCAGCAAAAATATAATGAAGCACGATGATAATTAATTTCCTATGGCAAGTATCATAGTCAAAGGAAAGCCCTAGTTTTGTGATATAAAACCTGATTATAGGTATGATTATATTTATAAATTGCTAATGTTTAGTGCTTTGGATGTATTAAGAATATTTAATGGAAAGTGCTTCAGAAGGAGTTACATTTTTGAAAGTAGACATTTTGTAAGTTATTTTGATAATTATCAATCCGTATTAGTGCAAATAAGAAAAATAAGATGTAGGAGAAAGTCTTATCTTTATTTAAAATAGGTATTTTTTCAAGGTAGTGAAAATAAAAATTATTAATAAAAGAAAGCTTTGCATACTCACAAGGAAAATTAAGGAATTTAGATTTCATATAAATAACAGAATATCTTTTCTAAGATTAAGCTGCAGGCATTTTAACCTAATAATAAAAAAATCTAAGCTATTTAAAAATAAAATCTATTTTTAATTGATTTTAAATACTAAAGTAATTACATGAAGACTAAAGGCATTACTTACCTAATTATTTAATTTCAAATGCTGGAAAATGTCCCACTGAAGAAACTAATATACATCTAATTTTAACTAACACCCAGGATTACTTAGCAACCAAGGCAGAAGTCTACAAAAAAAATTTTTTAATCCAATACCAGCAGCAGGAAGAATAAAATATTTTAAAAGAATTCTGTTTCAGAAAAGTATCTATTTAAATTAAACATATCACCAAACTCTGTACATGAAAATAGCCTCCCATTCATGATTTCTTATATTTGCTATTATTGTTAATAGTTCCTCTTTTGTGGAAATTTTATTTAGGGTTGGAATTGGGATTTACTGAGATTATGAATTGCTATAGGAGATTGTATTTTGTTTAAAGGGTTATTATATTCATATATATTAAAAAGGATTTTTATTTTAAAATGAAAAATAATTTTATTTTGCTCTCTAAAACTGACTTAACCTGTTTCACAGATAAGTATGCAATATTTTATCTACATTTTACAAATATTGTTATTTGAGAGTAGCAAAAACACCAAATTCTGAACATTAGATAAAAAAATTTTCTAGAAAAACGGTAAATTTACTAGATTCAACCAATATTTCACCAAAACTAATATGTGATTTGACAAAAAGCAGTTATCAAAGTGAGAAAAAGATATGAAATTAATAATAAAACATTTTAAGTCCACAGACATGACCCCAATATCCTTTCCTTTCTGAAAATTTTTTTTTTTTTTGGTCAGTTTTATCATGATTGGGAGTAAATGATGGAACTGATTCCCAAGATTCACTATTAGATAACTCAAAAAATATATGGAGAACAAAGACATGAGAAAATGTTAACGATCAAATATGAAGATATGTGATATTATACTCTTTTCTAGCAAATTAAAAGTTATAATTTTCACATAAGCAAAAGAAAACCCAGGAGTTCTGATAGATGCACTTCAACAGTTTCTTTAAAGTTATGTTATGGCCTATTAAACATATCTGTGATTAAATAAAAAGAGATTTTGTTTCTTAGAAAAATTCATTGCATATTTTAAAGATTAATTTGCTTTCCTAAGTTTCTAAAATGCTTAAATGTTTTTTCTGTTAGCAAAGTCAAATAGAAAGTAGAAATAATTAAAACTAATGATTAGTGTTAACTATTCTGAAAACCACCCCAAGATTTTTACATTTGTCTTCTGAGATTTCAAGGAAGTCTATATTTTAAAAAAGTTTCTTATTCAGTTAATTACTTCCCCCCCCCCATTTTATTACTTTTAATAATGGAACTTCCAAAATACCACAGTGGTTAATAATTTCCATGTAATGGTATATGAAGAATAGCTTCATAAAGTTATTAACTGGATATTAAGGTATTAGATTACATCTAATACACACACATCAGATATTAGCTAACTAAATTCTCAAATTATAAAATTCCATAATGCTTTTTGGTTCCAAATTTTTCTTTTTCATATTTCTTGCACATTAGAGTCTCAAAGAAAAATCTAGTATGAGTAAGTAATAGCTGAATACACATAGGTCTTCAATCTAGTATTCTCAAGTAATTATGTAAAGGTTCTTTATCTTCCATAGCTCCCTTGTTTTTAATGTTAAATTTTTTTCTAACCTTTTCCAGTTTGATTTATAAACCAAAACATCCTGCCTATTTTTTATACATTACTATCAGTTTTGCTCATTACAAGTTTTGTCGTTGAAATAATTCTTTGGAGAAGTCAATTTTTCTTATTACTATAAATAAAACTCATTCCTACAGTGAATCAAAAAAGTCAGTGTAGTCAGTTTTTTTCTTTTCTTTTCTTTTCTTTTCTTTTACTGAATGAGTAAATCAATCACACACCAACAGTGTTGTAAATTTAAGTGCAAAAGCATTGAAGTGCTTTACTACAAATTACAACCTAGAAACACGTTAACTGAACAATTAAAATTCATACAATCAGATTTAGATATATAACAACACAAAGTAGGAACAGAATTACAGTACATTTACAACACAAGACAGATACATGAATTCATTAGAAAATATTGTAATAAATAATTCATGAATTATAGTGCAATTGATTTATGCATAAATATAACTAATTGCCTAACAATCAGTTTATATTAACAAAATCTGTCAAAATCAAGGCAGCCACAGAGTTTTACTAAATTACTGCGACAATGGAAATACTGCAATTAAAAAACAAATACAAGTATTTGTACTGTAAACAACTAAAAAAATCAGTCTCACTAAAGTTAGTATACAATTTAATATAAAATTGTCATTAGCTACCAGAAATGGTTTAAACAACTTTACTGAGCAGTAGTTTTCTAAAAACAGAGGCACTGTTTTTTCTTTTCCTTCTTTTTTTTTCTTTTAAATATAAAATACTTGAGGAACATTCAAATAAGTAGAAAGCATATAAGGGTTGCTTTCACCTTCGTTAAAAGTCTGCTGAAACTGGATTTTTCAGAAAACTGTCAATAAGTAGTAACTGGTAACTAAATTTATAAAGTACTTTGAAAGTTTAACATAAAGAACATCTTAATAGAATCACTGGGGAGAAGGGGAACCCATAAATTTCCCTGCCTTTCCTAGTTTGTATAATCAAAAGTTAACTCAATAATTAGAAACATTTTGTTTCTTTTAAAAGTTATGGGTTGATCATTACCTATAAACTATCAAAAAATATTTAATTTAATATTTCTGACCAAAAATAAATAATACAAATACTAAATGCTGCAAATTAACTATAATATTACCTATAAAACTACTGATCACTGTGAAGTCAATAGCAAAATGATCCCTGATTTTATGAATCCTGTAAAGTTTTTGGTCAGGTCATCTTTTAAATGATATAAAAGTGTTCTGTAAGTATCCCTTTACTATAAACTTCTCAATCAATTTATTAATGTAAATATAGTGTGAGGAATAAAAAAGCTCAATATAAATATTATGTAATGCATTCAGGCCCCCAAATTTTTGCAAGTAAAATTCTGTATAAAGAGGTCAATAAAATTGTGTTGAAACATTTACTTTATTTTTTAAATTTGTTTTTCAATGGGGGAGGAGGGGAAATATATTAAATAATCCAAGTTCTGGCCCTCACAAAATATGGCTTAATTCTTTAAAAAGAAAGATGACCCTGACATCTGCTGTTCTGCAATCTATTATGTATACTTACTTGGAAAAAAAAAAAGAGCAAGAGGATTCATACCCTAGTATGCAGGTAACGTTAAGCTGAAGAGGGTTCAGTATAGATCTAGAGACCAAATAACTACCTGGTTGTGTAGTTTCCCACTCTTCAGTTTTTTTAAACATATGTAAGCAGTTTTTAAATGTAATAGCTGAAAATCTCTTTAGTATTACATGTATATGTGATTATTAGATACACACAAACACAAGTGTAAAAACACAAGTATTTGACAAGGTGCACTTATGTTTTAAATTCAGCTTTAAGTATTCCTTTTGGACTTAGGAAAATTGGCTTAGAAAAATGATCAGAACCTGAATTTTAACAGAGAAAAGGGGCACTCGGAGAATTCTGAATATACGAAGCAAATCCCCATTCTTTATATGGAGGCACATGCTTTATAACATTTTACCACTAAAACTGCATACTCCATAAATCCAACATGGATACTCTGAACCACATTTTAAAACTGCCATATAAAAATTATTGGTCTCTCTTATGAGTCTAGTAAAAGTTAAAATGCACTGCCCAGCTTCTAACTACCCAATTAGTAGAGAGTTTACATTACTGAAAGTTCAAAACAGCTTCAGTGTTAAATATCTGTAAATCTATTCAAGACCCTGAACAAACTGCAAATTTGGTTATTAGCAAAATGATAATGTATCGCCCACCAAAATGAAATCTGTAATTCATTTTGATAAACTGAAAATGTTTTGAAATGTCACAGCAGCAAATATATTAAAGTTACACTGAGGTTTTTCAATAGTAGGAGTGTGTCACAATCCTTAAAATTTAAAGTAGTCATAACATCAACTAACCAGCACATTTAAACCAAGTATCATTCTCAAGCTTTTTCTGTGCACATTATAAACATGCTCTAAGTTGCATTCCAACTTTCTTTTCTAACCTTACACATTAGCTTATTTTTCAAATGAAAAACAAAATTAAATTATTTTAATAATTAAATTTAAATTACTTTTTGTTCTTAGTATTCCATCTTATATTAAAGGATTCTATAGCTGCTGGGGTTAACTATGTGTCAGTTTTTTTTAAAAAGTATATACCTTATAAACCCCAACTTCCTGTAAATCAACTATTAAATGATAAATATTAAATTTCATTATACATATCATTTAAGGTTTTCTTTTCTATTCCTGGTGGATACACTTGAGTGCATTTCATATTTCATAGAATACACTGTAGTGTACTAATACTGTATATATTAATTTTTCTTAGTATGGAGATAGCTGTCTATTTAAACTTTGATTGGTTGTTTGATGTACTTACAATAGCTGTAAGTGTAGTATGTAAAAATGTTTACAAACTATAAATATCATATTTCCATTATAAGATGGTTCAACTGAATGGCTGGAGTGGTCTTTCACCAATAAAAATGTTTCACTTGACAATTACTTGTTTTCCCACAACGCTTTATGCTATTGACTACTAAAGAAAACCTGAATCTTTTTCACCTATTTATACAAGGATTAAATACAAACTATCAGAATTAAGTAAGCAACTATATAATTCTGTCCACAGTGAAAACCCTGAATAAAACTTTTTTTTCAAAGGCATGTAAGTGGTTTTTGAACTGTAAAATTTCATGTCTCCTGTCAGAGTGAGCATCTGTAATTCCCACGTGTGTATATAGACACACAAATACACACCTGTGCACATACACACACACACACGCAAACACACATACACACACACACATACACACATACAAACATTTTCCTAACAAGTAATCTACACAGGCTTGCTGTTTTTGCAGCTGCCAGTCCCTGAATCTGTCATATTATATAACCCAGTGTCTGGTAATCGGAGTTTCTTCTTCGGAGGAGTCTTCAGTGTTCCAGATCTTTCTTTTACCTTGTATTCTAAAGTGCTGTGAGGTACCCCATAAATTCCTTGTGCTTTGGAAACACTCATTTTTCCGCTCATTACCATTGCAATAGCCTCTTCCATTATTTCATGATCATATTGGCGATAACGGCCACGTTTTTTCCTGGGCTGTTTGTTATCTTTTCGATCCAGTCCATCTTCAGTATTTTCAGAGGTTCCATCAACTGTTCCATTTTTAGAATTAAGACACAAAGGAGAGAGGTCCCCATGTAGAAAATAAGAGTCAACACTTGAGTGAGTTACAGGCCCAGAACATTCTATTTTGTTCTGTTTAGGGAGTATATTTTTCAGTTTTTGGAGAGCTGATCCTTCTAGGACTGGAGAGGTTTTGGAAACTTGATACATAACATCCAGAAGACCAGGACCATCAGGTTGTGGTTTTGAAACAGAACTTACTCGGAGCTGAGGAATTTTTAACTGTACAGTAGGATGTGAAGTTTCATATTGTAGGCTTTCATTTTTTTCTTTAAATTGAGTAACCATTTTCTGTAGAGTTAACTGATGGAGGTAACTGGAAGCTGTTGGGAATTTTAATTCTGAGGTTTCAAGTAGATTGAGTTTACTTTTTTCTGTGCGCTCTGCTTGAGCTCTTGCCCACAAGGCTACTTTTTGCAGCACTGCACAAGTTTCTTTACTGTCTTTATATGAGTAACTATCATTGAAATCTCGAGTTTTGTTTTTAAAAGACGCAGGCTTCCCTGCTGGTAAGGCTTCTAAGTGGAGAAGTAAAGTTTTTTGAGGTATGCCATAAAGTATGCCTGCTTTATTTATGTCCAGTGCTCCAGACTGAATGTCTTTCAAAGCTTTTGAGAGCAAACCATCTGCAAACTCAGCACTTCTTTCCACATAGTCCTCTCTGTTTCTGTGTAGTCTCCTGGATGGATGGAATGAAACGATGGTAAACTGATGCATGAGAGACTCTCACACAGCTATGGAAGGGGAGGGTCCACTCCTTTATTATACTCCTTGCTTAGGTAACATCACTGCTTATGACTCTTTTTAAGTCTGTGAGATGTAGTAGTTACTCATCAAAGCAAACGCTACAGTCCTGGTAGGACAATGTGTCAATCATACGGTGGCCTCAACGGGCAGACCTTCCAAGAACTTAAAATCCTAACTCAGTATTTGTAAAAATATTCTCATGATGTTGCTATTCCTCTGACAGATGCTTGCAGAGCAACACTTATAATTTTTATTTGTACAATTAGAGTTCCATTATAAAAAATACCCAAATCCTAAAGGAGTTTTTGTTAGTAGAAACGTGACGTTACCGCTAAACAAGTAATAAAAGAGTCAACCCCTTTAAAGGAAATTTGTAGCAGCAAGAATATTTCCAAACACAAACATCCCATATTTCCACAAGACTAATTTTTCTCTAGACAAAAACTTAAAATTTTGAAACAAGTAGGTAAGTTATATTTGGGTAAAATAATTTGATACTATAAATGTTATTTCTATTTCAAATATATCATTGTAATTTTCAGTTTCTCAAACAGAAGCTAACTATACCTTATGACTCAAAAGCTACTACAGTCTTAGTCAAAACAAATTATACTCTATATCTAAGATTTAGATGTGACAAAAAAGCTTCCTATGCAGTTTGTTAATGGGAAGATGCAAAAGTTACTAAATAAAAATCCAAAAATCCAACAGAACAGCATTTCACTGATAATTATTTATTTAATTAATTTAATGAGAACTTTCAAAGCATGAAAGGACTTTCTGTGGTGCTTACTAGATATATATTATATATATTATATAAAGTTTGCCACCACACCTAAAGCACAGTGAAAAAAATGAAAACACTATAAGCTAGCTGTAAGAATTAGTAAGTATGGTACTTTTAAAATTTGACTGTTTAAAAAAATTAAATAGTGAAATCACATATTTTCCTTAAAATTGTCTCCTGAATATTGAATTTTAAATTTTCTTTACTCGTCCTGCTTCTTAGTTTGTAGCCTATGATTAAGTTGGTAGTTCATTTTAGTAACATGAACTAAAGTTTGGTGATTGTTCTGATAACTTTTCTTTAACAGAAAGAATAAAAAAGAAAGAGAAAGGACAAATGAAAGGTATGAGAGACACACACTTATGAGTGACAAAAATTCTGGAAGAAAGCTATATATGTCAATCTACTCAAAGTAGTATTAAGAGTTCTCTGTAGAGATAATTTTATATTAATATTAAATTGTATTTCCTAGATATTGCTTACCCAGCCACTGAATTTTCAGAAGAAGGATCACATATGGATGACTCTTCAGATTTTATGCTGGTTTTCTTTGTAGAGAGATCTAACACTCCATCCCCTATAATTTTTGCAAGAGAAAAAACTTTATATTTGTGACAGATAGGTAATCCTTACATTTTAACATTTCATATTTTGCTGATCTACGAATTCATGACCTAAAAATTAACACTTGTATTTGACATGTGGCTATTCTCAATTCATCTTGTGGTTTTAGGAACAGGACATGACTGGGAAGGCACTACATAGGAAAAAAGAACAGAAAAGGCATTGCCAAATGATATGAAGAAACAAACAGGCTATGATAAAAATCTGTTTAAAATCAACCTTTGGCCACTTTTCCCAGTGTTCTGCGGTGAACAGCAGAACTGCTTTATCCACGACTGCTTTATCCATTAACTGCTTATTCACGACTTTTCTAATCAAGGCTGCCCAGATGATGCTTCAAGAAAGTAGGAATGATGTAAGTTTTACAAAACAGAGACCACAGAAAAAATGATGATGAATAAGAGAACAATAATTAGCATTTACTAGGACTAGCAATATGTGGAACATATGCTTTAGGTAAACTGTGACTCTATTATATATATATAATATATTGATTATATAAATATAATCAATGTATTTTTTTAGAACAGTGTAAAATTTTACTATTTTAAATAACTGAAATGTATAACAGTTGAATCACTGCTTATGTAATATATTGTGTTTACAACTGTGATTGAATGAAGACATAACCTATAAAAATATAACATTTTAGGGAAAATAGGCTGTTAGAAAACAACTGCCTATTTATTAAAATGTAGTTGTTTTTTATTACTGTTATAACATTGAATTTACATAAATAAAACCAATGATTCAGACATATTAATCTGAAAAACTTAAGGATCGAAAAGAGTAAAAATAAACTATGAATTTAAAACACAGCACTAAGTAATACTGTGACTATTTCTTTACTGATAGCTAAAAAATTGAAAATTTAAGTTATAAAGGATCATTATAAGAAAACACATGTTTAAAAAAAATCAACTGGGTTTTACTGTTACCATATAAATTTATCTATCACTTAGGTGCTCTGGCAAGACACAAAGACAGAAAAATAAAATGTCTATCTCATAACCTGTTATATGTAATTCAATAATTTTATTGAGTGCCTACTATGTGCAAAGCACTATTTTAGGAATTTGGAAGCAGCAGTAACAAAGGCATAAATAGCGCCTATTGTCATGGTGCCAACCATGACCAACCAAATATGTTATCGGGGGAAAGCTTCTTCAAGGAACAGTTTGTACAAGGGCTGTGATACGGAATCATCTTTGAAATGTCTGAGGAATAGCAAAGAGGCCAGGGTGGCTGGAAGCCAGGTTGACTGAAATGAGATCAGAAATGTACAAAGGCAGATCACATTAGGCCTTGTATTTTATTTTGAGAGACAGGAAACCATTGGAGGATTCTGAGCATAAGACCGACGCGATTTTAATTTGTGCTTTTAATGGATCAATCTGCTGTGGGGAGAATGGACTGCAAGGGCTAGACGTGGAGTAGGAAAACCTGTTAGGAAAACAGTATCATATTTCTCAACTCTGGGTTTCAAACTTCCTTAGTTTCCTCTGTTAGAAGACTCCTACTCCTTTCCTTCTATGCCCACACTCATCCTAATTCTCACCAAATCTTACTCACCATTCAATCATTCAGGCCACAACTTGAATTTGGTTGTCATTATTCTAGGTTCCTATACCTGCAACACTTACCTATATTATTTAGCATTTAGCATGCTATCTTTAGGTGCTTACATACTTACCAGTGTTAGCCATGCAGACCATAAGCTATGTGAAGACAAAGACCATGTCTATTTTATTCACCCACGTATCCCCACTGCCTAGAATAGTGCCTGGCATTCAGTAAATATTTGCTGAATAGAATTTTGAAGAATTAAAAGAGAAGACTGGATAGGTAAACAAAGCATATGGTACATAGTACCTTGAAAAATTGTTAAATGAAGCATCTTGCCCCAGGTTATCTGTCCAGCTCAATTTTTTATGCTTTGTCTCCAACTCAACCCAACCCTCATACTTCCCGTGTATCTAACCACTTACAGTTCCTCAAACATGCTACTTGGTGTCAGGTCTCTCAAATTGCAGTACATGGTTCCCTCTGCCTAGAATGCTCTACCTTTTCAACTTGTCAAACTCCTACTCATCTTTAAAGATCCCTATGACCCCAAGTAGAAGCTGATGACTGTTTCCCTTGTGTCGACACTTATAACACTTAATGACGCTTATGATACTGTCTTGCAATTATTTATTCCTGAAGACTGAATTCCTCAGGTCAGGGATCTTATTTACTTGTATTTCATAAATAGTAGAGTGCTATAACCTACTAAAAGAAAAAATTGAATGTTGTCTTCTCTTTTACTATCTCACTTCTCTGCTTCAGCAATTAAAATTTTATTATTTCAAGACCTTATAAGATCATCTTCAAAAAATCATTACTATCTAATCCATATTCAGATTTACCCCTGAATTCACCAGTTTTGATTCTGCTCATGTTTTACGTAGTATGCAGCACATAAAACACACCCTCCATAAATCTGTTATTCTAGTCAATGTTACAAAATGAATTAATGAAAATTTTCCAATTGTAAACTTTTACACTTTTGATATAGTCAATTTAATTACTTCACAGACCAGAAATAAGAAAAGGAGGTCCAAGAACTCCTCTCTCTCCTTTACATTAACTATGCAAATTAGGCTACAGCTCCCTAGCTAGGGCAATAAAGGTATTCTTTTCCTTTTTGGGCCATTCCTAGATACATGGCCCTGTTTAGGAATAATTTGAATTGGAAGGATGAACTAGACCTAAGTTCTGTTTCATCTTTAAGAGAGCTACTCAAATCAAGCTTATACTCCTGACTCCTCTTCTTTCAGAACTCTAAACAGTGACCGAGGTGAGAGATGCTTTAATTTTTTCCCCACAGCTTCGTCTCCATACTTAGGCTACCTATGTTAATAGTTCTGCTCGAGAAGTAACACATTAATCTGTTATCTAGTGAAAACAAAATATACTCCTTCAACATATTTCTACCACACAGTAAAATGATGTAATCAATGAGCATTTATGTAGTGAATACAAGATACATAAATATATAAGTAAAGAACTTTTAGAGAAATTTTAGTTATCATAGAAAATCTCACTTTTTGTTAGCAGTGCTTTGGCCTATACTAAAGTATTTTGCTGATACCATTACTCCTTTATACATCATAAAAGCTGTAGCTCAAGAGCCAGAAAAATCAGAGTTATCTCTAGGATTATCCAAATTAGAAAAGCAAAAACAGTAACAGAAGGGAAGAGATAGCCTGGGAAGGATTCAGGAAAAAAAAAAAAAAGATCAGGAATGGGGATAAAGGGCATTTTCTTGCTCCTGCTGCTGATTTAGATCTAGCTGAAGTGATTACATCTATAAGTATCACTCCTTCACAATGGAGATAGCACATCATATCTAGATTATTTTGTGTATATATCTCCAAAGTACTAATGATTAACTTGATGGATAGAAACTAGGCACTTTTAAAAAAAAGATTTTATTTATTCATCTGAGAGAGAGAGTGCACAAGTTCCAGGGGGAATGGCAGAGGGAGAGAGAGAAGCAGGCTCCCTGCCGCAGGGAGCCTGACATGGGGCTTGATCCCAGGACCCAGGCACCATGACCCGAGCTGAAGGCAGATGCTTAACCAACTGAGCCACTCAGGCACTCCTTTTTAAAAATATTTTATTTATTTGAGAGGGAGAGCAAGAATGAGCAGGGGTGAGGGGCAGAGGGAGAAGGAGAAGCAAACTCCCACTGAGTAGGGAGCCCAACATAGGGCTTGATCCCAGGACCCTGAGATCATGACCTGAGCCGAAGACAGATGCTTAACCAACTGAGCCACCCAGACGCCCCAAAAACTAAGCACTTACTATGCTCTAGGGCAATATAAAATAAGTAGAAGACAAAGACTGAAATTTATTTACCATTCAACTATTGGTAGGTACCTAGGTTGTTTTTGTTTTACGCTTTACAAAAAATACTGAAATGAAAATCCTTCTAAATGCTTTCTTGTGTCCATGTATAAGAATTTTTCTAAGATATACACCTAGAAGTGTTAAGTGCTGGACTTTACATTTTGGAGTTTAGTAGATATCACCAAATTTCTTTCCCACATCCTTGATGACATTTGGTGTTGCTGAGATTTTTAATTTTTGCTAATCTGGTAAGAAAAGCAAGCTGTAGGAATAAATTAACAAGAGTGCATCTAGTATGCATTATTGTGAATTTTTAAAGCACACAAAACTATTTTACTTATAAATGCATAAATAGACATTATCAGAGGTTGCGTCCAAGACTAAACAAAAGGATGTGATAGTTCCTTAAGAGAAAGCATTATCAGAAGCAAACATGATCAAATAACACATTTATTAGTTCTGGGTAACAGGAACATGATTATTAAGCAGTATATTTCTCTATATTTGAAAACTACTTAATAATAAATACAAATTATTCCCATTTACTGATTATAGACTGGATCTTAAGACTACAATTTACTTTTGATCAAACACTAATGCAGAATGTATAGAACTAAGGAGAGGCCAGTGGAATCTTTCAACAAGATCAGGTAATTTTATATATTATACTACCAGATATAACTTTTAAAATGGACTGATCCTTGAAAAACTGAAACCATGACCAAACTGGGCAATTTCTTTCTTTCTTTTTTTTTTTTTTTTAAAGACTGTATTTATTTATTTAACAGAGAGAAACACAGCGAGAGAGGGAACACAAGCAGGGAGAAGCAGGCCTCCCGCGGAGCAGGGAGCCCGATGTGGGACTCGATCCCAGGACACTGGGATCATGACCTGAGCCGAAGGCAGACGCTTCACAACTGAGCCACCCAGGTGCCCCCAAACTGGGCAATTTCTTGATATCAATACTTTATTGGCTTAATTTGTTTTAGAATTCACCTTCTGTTAAAATCAAGATTTGAATTTTCATTTACAAATTGTTTTCAGTTCTGTATTTTCATG